ATATATAAGTTTATATATATATATCATGTGTGTGTGTGGGAGGGTGTGTGTGTGTGTGTATTTTTGTTATGAAAACTACAATGGTGCGCCACTTGCAGAAGCCTCCGATCAATAAATAGAAATGATTTCCAAGTTTGAATTCATTCAAACTGTTCAATAAATAATACAGTGATGTAGAGAGAGTGGTTGTTGAAACAAGTTACTTTTTAATGACTTGCAAAGTTATATCAGTTTTAAAAATGTGGATAGACCTATTACGAACGTAATGCTTATTAATGGTTTGGTTGTATTTTCGTTTTCGTTAAATGTTTGAAAAACAAACTCCACGGTAATTGGTGCGTTACTACACCAGGACAATTATTGTATCTTTTTTAATACATAAGTATTATTAATGAAAAACTTATCGAACTTGACAACGAAAGTTACTAACTAATTCCACTGTGAACTGAAACGAGTAGTGAAAAGTTCCACTGCCTACAACCTTGCATTCATTCTTTTAATTTATGATTTTTAATAACGTCGCTAGAATTTAGTTGCAAACAAACAAAGGTGATTGAACAGACTTGTTAAATACTGGAAATAATTAACATCATTATAGATAATACTGACATTGTGAATATCCGGTCGATTAGCCTGGAACACATAGCTAGGTAAAAGAAAAATTGAAACAAAAGAACGGCAACAGCTGCCACCATCATACAATCACTAGGTGGAGCAGAACGGATATACAGGTATAGACATTTACCAACAGCCCGGGTAATTCATACTACTATTGTGTTCGTATACGATGCTCTGTTTATATTGCACTGCATCGCTTTTGTTACTGCTTTTCAACTGGTTCATTGAAAGGAATTACGACGAATCTTGAAGATTAATCGATTTGAGGAATGAATATTGATCATCATTCACTCAACACGTTCTTACCATCTCAATATTCATGCCTATAAAATTTGAATAAACAGTTTATTGCAGGATTTTGGTGTATGGTGTTTAGAGAATATTAAGGAATGAAATAGGCCTAGATCAATACTAGTTATGCCTCGATTCAGGATTTGGAAGAGCAACCTACGTTTAAGGTAACAAGATATGGCTATATTATTGTGCTTACTCGTTTGCCTGTCATCAACGTAACAAAGCATTCGTTAAGAAATTATATTAAGTGCTACTGTTGCCATGGCAATGAAGAATTGATATAAAAATATTGTACAAAAGCATCTGAAATATTCACAAATGCATGTCGGCTTATAAAAAAATGTTCGCAGAAAACATATTTGCAAGGCATATGCATATAACATTGAACATAATGCTGTTTAGTCAAGATAGGAACACAATAGGACGTACGGTACTATTGTAAATAACCTACATGCAGTCGGTCAACAGTATCTTACCAGGATTATTGTTAACTATTAGTTAGCAATCAATGATGTCGTTCTTAATAATATGATAGAGCAAATTAAGAGAGACGCATCGTAGTGGCTGCTATTTAAACAACATGTTTATATTGACTTGATAGGCATATGCACTGCTCTCACGCTCATAAAGATGTCATACTGACTCGGACTCGATTCGTTGCTGCAAATTTTCCTAATAGATTATCATGAAACGGTCACGATAAAGGAAATGAACTGGACGGAAAATAGATGAAAACACCGTCTTATATATCACTGATACTCTGTTCTGGATGTTTACGTATAATATCAGTAGCTCTGCTGCAATATAACTATCGGATATTTCCTACAGTAGGCATTTAAGAAATAGACGTAGTCATTTCATTGCCATTGGATCATTCAACAGCGTTTGTAAGACACTGTCATAAACAGACTTTCAGTCTTGTATGTGCTGCTGTGATGATGTTAAGCCGAACAGAGCTCACGATAATCGTCGATGTTGGTGCATGTCGTCTTAATTCAAATTCAGTAAATAATCTTTGACGCATAAATAGAAATATTGATATTTCATGCTGTGATGGCCTACTAACCAAGGTGAATTGCAAAGTGAATTTTGAATATATCAATGCAAGGAAATATCTCAGGGAATGCGAACAACTTTTGTAGACCAGGGATTTCGCTCTTGTAAATCGCAATCGCAATGCATCAGTAGGCCTATATAGACAAATAGAAAAATTAAAAATAAATATTCATCAATTTTATTCAAATACAGGTACATTTGAAAGGGTACCGTAGGCCACGATGTGACTGAAATGTGTCACAATATTTCCCCGTATTGACGAAGATGATTAGGCCTACAACCATGATTATGCTTTGTTCTAACAAAAGATGACCGATATTAAAAATAATGTGCATACAGTTTCCTGTCAGAAAAGTTTTCAATACGGAAGGTCGCATTCGATCAGTAAATTCATAGAAGACAGGAATCGTCGATGGAAAGGTCTGTAGCAGCTCCTACATACTCGAATTTAATTCCAGAGAATTGTCCCCAGACAGTGACGCAAGTAGAGGTAGAGTCAAAGCGAAATGCACAATGGCTCGAACAGTCGCCAGGAAAGTTACATAACAAACACGACGGCCAATTAAAACCGTTAGCAATTAAAGATCAAATTATTATGAAATATGCGCGAATATATCACGCAGAGCAAAACATTAATGAGTTATTAGAGAAAAGACGTGGACACACCACTGTAAATCACCATCTGTTCAATCCATCTCAATATAAACCCACCAAATTCTATTCCAGTATGAACTATGATATGTCCGTTCCTTGCAAATATCTTGGTGGAAAACCAGTTCCATCAAAAGGCGAGATAAATATCGAGGTCTGCGTGAAACCAACATGTACAAGTATTGATCACACTATTCATAAACAATGCCGAACAGTAACACGTGCATACCGATCGGAACTTGTTGTTCAATTAGGTACAACAAAGGGGAAATTATATCAATCGAATACACATAGGCCTAATCGTGACGTCATCAAATTGCAAAAGAACGACGTTGCTGAACAGAAAACTTTAGGAATTACAAGTCTACGGGTCGAGCACGACACACATATCCCGATTGACATCGTTATTGCGAATGATTCAGACAAAAGCATAGCGCCAAATATGGAGATGGGGCGTGATTCCAACGATTGTCCATCCAGGGTAAATGAATACCAGTCCGAAGATAACTCAGTTCTATGGGGAGCTAACCACTTATTGACAACTGCCCAACCACAAGAATTAGAAAACATAACTAAAGTGATGAGTAAATCTCTTACAGACGGGTCAAAAATAGGGCTTAGATCAGATATTATGGTAATTAATCATGATCAAGCAATTCATTTATTAAAAAATGAGAAATCAAGTCATTTGTGTTTGAACATGAATAGTCAGACTTTAAAACATACCAAAGACACATTCAAACCAAATGAATGCGTAAACACATTGACCAAGCTTGATGAGTATACTACATCACGTAGTAATGGCGTAATAGGATTGAATTCAGAAACCACAAATGATAGTAATGATAATTACGATTTGAGAAAAGTTAAATCAAACGATGGCTTAGCCATGGGATTTTTGTCTGAATCTGTGTTATACAAATGTACGAACGATAGCAAGCCTAAAATAGCGAGGAACGTCTTATATGATACCGATGTGAAACGCGATAGACCCAATAAGGCATGTGATACGCCTACCACGTTTGACAACAAATATAGAAACAATGAACCAGATTTAACTGATTATGTACGAGTTACCACCAAAGATTATAATAGTAGAACCGATGATGAACCGGGTGCACGAGTTCCAGCCGATGATAAACGAGTTGTATCCTATGATTTTCTAGGTAAAATTGATAATGATCCAGGTAGATGCCATGGTGATTGTAGTGATACCGATGATGAAAGAAGTTCAATTGATAATGTACGAGTAGCAACGGATTATGAACAAATTGCAGCTGAAGATGAAAAAGAAACACCCAATTTTAAGGGTGAAATGGCAAGCAAGGGGTTAAACTGTTTAAATTGTATGCCAAGTTTAGGATACAATGAAAATCTTAGTTCATCTAAAATTGGCATCAATCTACATGGTGATCAGCGACGGGTTTGGAACGCGGTTCATTCAAAAATGGTATTTAATACAGATAAAGATGAGTGTTCAAACGAATGTCAGCAAATTCATGATTCAGGACTACTTGAACACACTTCGGCCGTGGTTTGTGCTCAAGGACTAAGGAATTTTCTAGAAGATGCAAACTTGTCTGAAACGATAGTATACATAGAAAATGAAAATGACGTTATGGAATCAATTAGTGAAATGTCAAATTCATATTTACCTGCGATTGGACATTCGGAATTGCAAATAAAAACCAATTTACTAACGAGTTACGAAGTACTTAAAAGTGATAATGATGTTACATATGAACACGGGGAGGAAATCATAATAGAGAAGAGTAATATGGCTATACAGCAACCTGGTTCTCAGATACCAATTATGAGTTCGCCACTATTTACGGATATGTTGAACAGTAATCAGTTAACTCAATCTATTGCTGATGCTCAAAATATGGATCACATAGTAGAGGAAAAACAAATCGATGAGGAAAAAGTTTCGCCTGTAGATGGCGCGCGCGATGGGTCACTGTCTCGTACGACCACTAAATTAGAGTGTGAGGAAACATTATGCAAACAGAAGGGTTTTACTCACAATGACCCTTTGGCTGAAGAGGGCTCCTCTATAGACTCAGACATGCACGGTAGCGTTTGCTCTAAAAAATGCACCAGTGACAGTGGCTACTCGATTACAGTACACTCACATGAATCTAGGAGAAACTATTCAACTGATACAGAATTTGAAAGCATACGAGAAGACGCGAATACAGATAACACAGAAGGTGAGCAAAATATCATAGATCTAGGGTAACGGCTCCTACATGATCTATAATTGAATTATAAATATTTAATACATTTTACTTCATACCTAATATTTCAGTGCTCGCCTCAAAACTAAAATTATATTCGAAATGAATGCAAAATACCTTTCTTTTTAACTCTTCGATCTACCCCCTCCGTTCCTCGGCTTGGCTCTTGCTTGGCTTGTTGGTGTAATTTTTCTGCGGTTTTTTTTTTTTTTTTTTTCGTTATTTGTGATTAATTTTTAATAAACATAGTTCACTGTACCTTATGTTTAGTTCAGGTTCCACCTTACGGGCTTATGACTTTTCGGTTCCCGGCACATGTTATTAGGATTCTGTAGTGAATCAGGTAAATGATTTAATACAGAATGTATAAAGAAAGAATTTAAATTTACAAAAATAACGTAATTTATATTATATTTTTCAAATTTTCTGTAAATAGTTATTTTTAATTTGTTTTATCTTTTTTATTCAGCTTAACAAGAGAAAAGTATATGCCAAGCATTGAAATTAATTACTCTCCAAAGTGGCATTCCTTTCACAAGTCAAACATACACACAAGATGCTCTACTACATAGAATAATTCTCATTATGGGTCTTAGGAAGTGGGGTTGTTTTTGAGATAAAATCCTGCTACCGTGACAGGAAACCGGGACATTGAAATTGAAAGGCAAGCGTCTTAACTACCAAGCTAACTCCACTCTAATAGAGATGCGGTATGTTTCTTTCCACTGGATAATTCAATAATAGCAAATTAGGCATTCCCAATTTAAATTTCTCGTGAACCGGTTTCTTTTAAATATTAAAGTAACCCTTGCCTTAAGTGGCTTCATAGCCTTGTTTCGGTGTGATTGTCAATAAAAAAAAAAACAGAAAAAAAATGCATAAGCAGTATACATTTCTATAAATCGACAGAGTATTTTAGCATGCTCTCATTCTTATATCAGCTGTAGTTTTTGGTTTATATACTTTGATCTCACCCCTCTCATGAGTAAAACGTATGAAGTAATTGCATGTAATAAAAATTGCAGCTCAGTCTTGATTATCGATCGTTTATAACAATGGTTTCCATGGCAACGAAAGAAATGAATCGGGCCTACAAAAATAATAACGAAACGAAACTAATGAATGTAGATTTATTGCAAAAAAAATTTCTTATACGAATGAGAAATCGTTGGGGTCCGATTGTATTTTTAAGTTTATTTAGGCCCAGTAGTTTTCTATTATATTACAGTATATCTGCATAGCATAGAAGGTTTTTTATACAGGATATTATCACTAGCCTTTTATCTAGCACTCCTCACTCACTGTTGATTGATTGAAAGGATAAATTATATTATCGTGACATGGTAAAATGGATTATGCATGATGTCATAAATTCTTATTAGTATTAGTAATTCAATTACCTTACACTACGGTACCATGCTACTATATCTTAAACTCCTGCTATATTTACTTTTTTACTAATTGTGTGCCATTACATTAATGTTCGAATCTGGTATTGGCTGTCATAGGATTATGGCTATGCGAGTTTCTTGACACAATTTATTATCATATCTATTGACACAATTAATGAGTACTACATGTAGGCCCAGTGCTTCGTTCTCTTTGCCGAGTGTCTAGTTAGGGTTGTTTTTAACGGCTGGCTGCTTTACTTTATTGATTCAATGATTCAAAGTTGTATATATTGATTGAATAGATTTCGGATTGTTAAATGGCTTTATCGTAATCTATGGTGACAGGATATACATTGAGAGAAAAAAGTGTCTGAAAATTTCGGTGGAGACATGGTGGTATGAAGGGTCAATGGTATTGGGGCCTATGAAAACTGGGTAATGTTTGTTTAGGCCGTTTTAGAATTTTCTGAGACATTTTATTCTCTAAGAATTTAAACAAAAACTCATAGTTTTCTATGGTCCGATGAGTCTTGAAAGGCGAGAAGGGAATCACACCTACATATCGACAGGGGGTACACTTAGTTCTCTACATCCCCACTGACGCCACAACTGTGTATGTTAAGCAATAGGTATCAAGTAGCACAATATATATATATACAGTATATGAAAGCATTTTATTCCGTTCGTACTAAAAATATTTATTTATGTTACCCTTGTTACGGTAGCTTATAATTGCTACTCTCCTCAGGTGTTTAAGTTTCTGTGTTTGCATGTATATATGCATTCTTTATATGTATATAATATAGGCCTACATTTGATCAAAAGTTTCGATCAACTTTTATGACATGTATTTTTTTTTAATTTAGCAATTCTTGTATGCAAATTGTAAGTATTTAATTATATTTCTGTCTGCGTACTAATAACGTATTTTAAGGAACCGTATCTCAAAGCTGTATTTTATACTATTGTGACAATAAAGTTTTATCGTATCGTCGAGTACGGTATCGTATG